ATGCAACGCAACGCGTAAAAATACAGTATAAGTCATTATAATCCGTAATTATGTCCCCACTGGATGCAACAAATGCCTCGTTTATAATGGGTTTTAATGTTTTTGTCTCGTCGCTCCAGCTGGACAGGGCATCACAATATATGGTAAGGGGCGTAACATTTCCGTCACACGCTTGAGGTATTCGGCCAATCACAACGCACTGGATGGCATTTTTTGTGTATATTTGACAGTTTATGCGCGTGCCTGAAACCCTCAGTATACTTGTCTATGTTTAGCTCCGTGTGGGAACACACAGAACGCACCTGAGGAACAGTCTCTTTTGCAGTTAATGCACTTTTTATAGCTCTTTAAAATAACGACAGCCACGTTACATGATTTGACCAATCTGGACATTGTTAGGATTTTAAGGACAGGCGAAAGCGCACTGCTTTAAATGAAAGGAATGGCATGCGGCACAATGATAATTTTATAAAATCGAAATTCAAACTAAAATGTAATTAATCGCAGTACTACTGCTAGCTCACGTTGAACTGTTTTTCAGATACGTCACCACACATGAAAGACACATGATATAATTTGGCCAGTCACAGTCATCTAGTAGGCAGTAATTGCTATAGTTTTAAAATTTTTACGAAGACATAAAAGATCACGATCTCTACGATGCACTTAAAGTAGATTGTCGACGTCTTCAAGATCGATCATGATATGAAATCGTCAGATCGCCCACCCTTAATTTAATGTAAATTTATCTGTTTAAGTTTAATTCTGTCACTTCATTATTTAAAACCCTCTTAGTATTACTGGTATATTAAGGGATATTTTTACTTTATGGCACAGGTTAAATGTACAGATTATATCATTGGTTACATTTAGAAAACTATTTTAAGTAGCTTAAATGTAGCCAAATAGGCCCTTAGGTTGTTTTTGTCCCTTTTGTAACTGAGATCCTATTTTGGTCCCATATGGTGCCGTGTGCATATTTATATTTTGCTAAGTTGTACAGAATGTGAGTACTCTAAACACCAATATTATGTTACTGCTGTATCAATTGTAGTTTCTTTGACCACAGATCTGATATGTGAAGCTTTTTTCGCTACAGAGTAGGCATGTGAGACTTTATATTTTGCAGAGTAAGAGTATTTTACAAAGTGTTGCAACTGTGATACACCCTCTGTTCAGTAACTCTCTTTGTTAAAAGTAAATGGAAGTTATGCTTTGGACTTAACCTAAATAAAACAATGTTTAACAAGCTTCTAGCTGTTGTGATCTGAGTTTGAATATGTAGACCAGTTTTTTTTCCTTTCAATATGAGAAACGTTTGCATTTGAGCCTCAACAAACTGATTTCCTCAGATCAGAAGAGCAGAACAGCTTCGTTTCAGATGATAGTCTGTCGTTTACATGATTATGTTCGGATCATCCAGGAAGTGGCGTCTTCTCCTACATACGTGTTTTCTGTGAGCATGCAGTTTTGTGACATGCAGTTTGCATGCTATCTATTCTGTCTTGTTCTTTTTCCCTTCCAGTATGTGTTTACCTGTGTGTGTGTGTGTGTGTGTGTGTGTGTCTGCTGTGTGTGTCTGTGTGTGTGTGTGTGTGTGTGTGTCTGTGTGTGTATATGCAGCTGTAGCGTTTGACAAAGGCACTGGATGGATAGCATCGACGCTGAAGCCGTCTACCTGACCACAGCGCAGCACGGGCAACCTCAATGCGAGCTTTCCCTTCCTGCTGTGGAAGTACCTGCCCTTGGCGGGTAAGAACACATACACTTCATGTCTTTTCACCCCAGGGGTATGAGGATACCCTCCATCTGCAGGTTTTCCCTCAGTGAGAAACAAATCTTTCAAGCAGCTTCTTTTTGAAGCTGGAATGAGAAGAAAAACATTGCTTTTTATTTTTCATTGCTCCTTTTTCTAAATAGTACCCATGCCTGCAGTGTGCAGCCCACCAGATGTCATGGCCTGTTTGAATGTCTGTCAGACCATTGAAAAAAGTAATAAAATCATTACATTCTGATTAATCGCTGAAACATTAGTTCTCTCTTTTGGAAGGATGTTCTTTAAAATATTGCTGTATATATGATTTATATGCGTTACTTTCAGACTTAATCAGCATATTGGATACATTTATTTAGCAATTACTGAATGTGTTGATAGAATGCTATTTATGTTGTTACATATGGTGTTTTTGTGCTAAACAAAGCCAAATAGTGGACCTCAGCCTGTCTGTGGCTTGTTTTGTTTGTCGCCTTTGACTGCGAGCTTATAACACGACCCTTGTCGCATGACCCTAGGCAGCTTTTTCCTCCCTCCCTTCCGTCACCCCTCCATGCTGGAATAGTGTACAGTTCATGGCCCGCTGGAACCCGATTGTGTCCTGGCGGTGCTTCAGCTCAGGGATTAGCAGAGAGCTGCCTGTCCCCATTCATTCCTGCCACTCACTCACGCTTATCAGCATCGATCTGACACGTTATTTATCTGACACTGCACTCGGTTCTGCTTTGCTAGGAGAAAAACTCACAAAAAAGTCCCCCTCCATCAGCACTTTCCTTTGTGGGAGCAGGGGTGCAGCTTTTAGTGGCCTGTTCGGCCCATCCTAATTCTCAGTCCCAGCCCAGTGACCAGAGCTACGGCCTGTGTTTGTCATCCAGCACAGTGCCGAGCCTCATCGTTGTCTCTCTTTGCTCCATGTCGATTTGAGTTTTGTGGGGTCTGATCAGCCTCAATGAGGTGTACGCTTCCCTTTCTTACCCAGCTGTTCCCATGTCACTTATGACTGAACCTTGAGAGACGTACTTGACGGATAGTCGCTGTGGCTGTTTTAGTGTTTAAGTGTGAGAAAGTCTGTTTTTGTCGATTCCATCAGCATTCATTTGAGACTTACTGACTAGTGAAGTGCTGAAGAAAATGGCTTCCTTTAAACTGGATTTTCTGCCAGAGATGATGGTGGACCATTGCAGTTTGAGTTCCAACTCAGTGTGAGTACAGACTTGACTTTAGCCTCGTGTAACTTGATTTGGGTTACACACTAATACCTTAAATTCTCCTTTGATTGATGGTCACTGTGTTAGGGTGGAATGTTCTGTATTTTTATGTTTAATATTTCTTTGTATTAATCAGTGTGGTTTGTAAAATCTTATGAGTGGTTAACTGGTTTCTTTACTTTTTATTCAGAGCTGAGAGTACAGTAAATGTCAAATGTAGGGCTGTGTAATTAATCGCATGCGATTGTAATGCGCATCTCGTCAGTAAAGCCGGTTCCGTGATTGGTAGTAAATCTCCATCACCTGCTTTCAGATGGAGCGGCATTTACTACACAGAGCCGTAGTTCACTGACAATTAGGCAATATCGCATTCATAATCGCAGATGAATCGCATTCGATTATGAACGCTATATTGCCTAGCGTGTTAGTGAACTACGGCTCTGTGTATTAAATGCGCTCCATCTGAAAGCAGGTGGAGATTTACTACCAATCACGGAACCGGCTTTACTGACGAGATGCGCATGACAATCGTATGCGATTAATTGCACAGCCCTAGTCAAATGTTTTGTGTGAATGTAAGTTTGATTCAGAGTAGTGGTCGACCGATATATCGGCATCGGCCGATAAGTTTTTCTGTTGGGCCGATGTAGGGCTGGACAATAATTCAATATCAATATGTATCGCGATATAATTTTTTTCAATAACGGTGATATGATTTTTAAACACATTTCCGATATTTCGATATACATTACCAGTTTCCCATACATTGATTTATTTGTGCCGTTTGACTTTGTTGAATAAACATGAGCACTGCACGTTTCAAATTCATAACACGGCGCGGGTGTTTTATATGAATGTATCTCTGAAGGGAATTGACTGTCTTCAGAAAAGTTTCGATGGCATTTTCATTTGATCTGATAAAGTAGCATTCATGAGCGGAGCTGCTTTGATTACAGCCATTACTGGAGAAACCGCTAGTTTTATCACTCTAAAAGCGCCTCCTGCTGGCAGAGAATCAGTTTTCATTTTAAATAAGCCGTCTCCAGCAACATTTCCAGTTTTTGTTATTGTTCAATTTTTTGGTTTTCTGCAGCGACTCGGAGCACTTTTCATACCCTTTTTTCTGGCTGAAGCACATTTGTTTCAATCTATAAGAATAATCAGCCTACACTACCAGTCAAAACTTTTTGAACAGTAAGATTATTATTTATTTTTTTTAAGAAGTCTCTTCTGCTCACCAAGGCTGCATTTATTTGATCCAAAGTACAGCAAAAACAGTAAAATGTTGAAATATTTTTACTATTTAAAATTGCTTTCTATTTGAATAGATTTTAAAATGTAATTTATTCCTGTGATCATACATAGGTAAATTTTCAGCATCATTACTCCAGTCTTCAGTGTCACATGATCCTTCAGAAATCATTCTAATATGCTGATTTGCTGATTATCAATATTTAAAACAGTTGAGTACATTTTTTTTTCAGGATTCTTTGATGAATAGAAAGATCCAAAGATCAGCATTTATCTGAAATAAAAAGCTTTTGTAACATTATACACTATTCCATTCAGTATAATTTTTATTATTTTTTTGGGAAAGAAATTATAGAAATTAATACTTTTATTTAGCAAGGATGCTTAAAATTGATCAAAAGTGATGATAAAGGCATTTATAATGTTACAAAAGATTTCTATTTCAGATAAATAGTGTTCATATCGATATCGGAATTATATCGTATCGACCGAAATTAAGAAATATATCGTGATATCAATTTTGGCCATATCGTCCAGCCCTACAAGCAATCCTGCGGTTCATAAAGAACTTTGTTTTCCTACCTCCACGAGTGCCATCTATTATTGCCTTGTTTATCTAAAAGTGC